AATTTGTTTAAAATAACTTGAGCCCTGACTTGATTTTGTTCATGTGGCTAGTAGCTCCTTTTTCTTTGCTATGGGTGCTGCTCTCCCATAGCACCTCCCATCCCGCAGGGTCCTAGAGCACCCCTCCCCCCCAGCCTTATACAGAGAGGAATTGCTTTGCCAGGCTCGAACGCAGCAGGTGCTGAAGAGCGCGCAACACAACTGGTTAGGGCAGGAAGTGAGGAACGTGTGATCCGTGTGGAACCGCTGGCCAGCAGCAAAACGTAGTGTCGGTCTGAGTGAACCCATGCTGGGCTTAGCCTGGAGAGGGCGAGAAATCGCTTGTATAGCCCTTGTGCAACACCTTCAGCAGGTGAGCTGGCTCCAGCTGTCTGTGCATCTCCTGCATGAAAACCACCAGGCCACGCGTGCGATGCTAAGCTCCTGTCAGCCTGCTGGGAGCAGTCCTGAAGAAGCTTGTTTGGGAGTCCAGGGCTGTTCTGGTTAGAAGCTGTTGGTAGCGGAGCAGGCTTTGCCTTCGGAGGCACAGCGTACGCCTCTTCCAACAGGCCCTTGGAGAATGAGCTGAGCTGAGTTAGTGGCCTCTCCCCCTTCTGTGGGCAGCTGTATCAAGTGCCCATCCACGAGGTGCAACAGGCTGAGCGCGTGAGAAGGCGGGAGCATCTAACTAGGCGGGGGAAGGTTCCCTGGGTAGCAGCAATGAGAAGCTGTGATGTGAATGGGTGCTGGGGGACCTTTGCTCCGGTGTCCCGTGCCTGCTTCACTTCATGCAGGCAGGATGTAAATAACTGTCTCCTGAGCCGTCCCCCCGAGAGCTGGGGATGCCAACAGCTTTTTTGAAAGCCTGCCCCTGTGGTTGGAATAGCCTCTGTCTTGCCGAGGGCGGCAAAGCTCGTGCGTGGGCTAATGATCAGAAAGCCAACTGGCACCTCCTGCCCACAAAACACCCCGAGGCGCTTCACTGAATGAACGAGGGGCAAACGGGACCGGAACGCTGCTGTGCCCTGCTGATCCGTGTGCTTCCCCCCAAAGGAGCAAATTGCCTCTGCACAGTTCCTCTGGAATAAAGCCTCACTTGGAGGCTCCAGAGAGGGAAATATGATCCTGCAGTTTACAGATGGAGGGGGAGGGGATGGACACACAGACATGTGACTTGCCCAGGGTCTCATGGGAAAGCGGTGTCGGAGCTGGGGTTAGAAGTTTGCTGTCTTGAGAAAATCATCCTTGCTTGTGTGCCCCAAGCCTGCACTGCAAGGACCGTTCTTTCCCACTCACTTGCCTGCCTCCCTTTTCTCATCCCAGCAAGGGGTAGGCTGCTGCCGTTACTGTCTGGTTTTACCCCCACACTTGTCTGTCATTGGTGGGCTGAGGCTGGTAATTGTCTCACTGAAATCACAGCAGTCACCTGGTAGAAAGCCGTGTTCATGTGCCCTTTGAGAGAGGAAGGTGGGGAGTGAATGTGTAGGAATTCAGCAAGATCAAAGGCATAATTAACGTGCAGCCCATGTACGTTTATTTTTAGGGCTTCACAAAAAGACTCAACCTGTTTAATTCGCACTGACACGTGGCTGCTCCATCGTAATGGAACTCTGAGAGCTATCCGGACCAAGAGAGACGCTGCAGTGGTGGGGGAGCGGCTGTTATTCAGTACTTTGACATATCTAGCAAGTGGCAACTGACTGACTCACTGCAGTTTCTTGCAGTGCATGGAGCTTACGGCCTGAGCTGGCGTGGGCTGACATGCACTAGATCACAGTTGCTCAACAGCCAGGCAGGAGACTCTCACCAGCAGCCTCCGGGCTGGTCCCTAAGACCTACCTGATGCACTTTAGGAAGGCACAAGCTGGTCCTTGCTCTCAAAAAGGGTTGAGAAACAATGTATTAGATGGCACCGTCGTCCCATGTGCTGGAAGTAGGAACCGTCTCGACCCTCTGCCTAAAGACCCATCCCCTAGGAAACAGACCCGGGTATTAAGGAGCAACGTCACCCTACGCGGCGTGGAAAGGGAGAGATGCGGCTAGGTCGGGTAGTGGCAACGGAAGTGGGCTAGTCCGAAAAGCCATGTGTCCTGTAACCAGGGGATCGTCTGCCCTGCGTCTTCTCCCAGCACTAATGTTCACCCATTTAAAAAAAAAAGAAAAGAAAATTGTTTGGTGCTAGTGCCTGTGACCCCCTTCTCCCCCCCCCCCAAGAGTCAGCAGTGAGCTACACCTGCTTCCTCACAGTATGGAGCCTCTCCCCTTGGAGCAGCCAGGTGGCCTATGCGGTCAGTCCAGTTCAGACCGGCAGGAGCACGAAGCATTTTTTTCCTTCTCCCCTCACCGTAGCTGTATGAGCCGAGGCCGGGAAAGGCCACTTCTGCCATTGGAGCTTTGCAGAGTCCTGTTCAGCCGGGAGCCCGACCCCAGGCTGACTAGCTCCGTGTGGTGGGGATGGAAATGAAGACCCCCCGAGCCACCTCTCGCGCGCAGGGGGGCGCCGCAGTTGGAAGGCGGCGAAAACTGCCGTGGCAACTTCGTCTGTTTCTGCCCTTCAGACCCGTTCATTGCAAATCCTGCCTCCCGGGGAGGACGTGGTCTAGTCTAGCGATCAGAGCAAACTGCTGACTCACTGCCTGACCCGAAGCCTTGCACTCAGATTTATGCTGTGCCGCTCTAGCCACGAAATCAGTGGCAAGCAGCAGGCAGTCCCTGCAGAGCAGAGACTCAGCCTTCCCTGCTCAACTAGGCGCTTGCCACCCAGATCTGTTTGCTTCCATTGCCAGGTGCTGGCGTTGCCCCATTAGCTTGGAAGGCAGGAAGCCCCCTCTGCCTCATGCGTAAGCTGCAGGTGGCCTCGTCCCTGAGCTTCAGTTACTGGCTCGCTCATTTACCTTGCGGCTATGACACCTGCTGAGATGGAGGGGGGGTTGGGTTTTGTTTCCCTCCCTAAGGCAGCATTAAAATGTTACCAGTCTCTCCACTTCCTTAATTAGTGCCTTGAACAGCCTGCCAGCAGTCTGCTAGCCAGAGAACTAAACCGACTAGCCCGAAGCTGGGGGTGGAGAGGGCAAATCGGGATCCCCATTAAGTTCTAGCAATGATGCTCTGGTGAGCCGCTCCGTTCCCCCTAAGCTCCTGGAGAAGAGAAGGGGCTTGAGATCCGTGGCAGGAGTCTGCCCCAGGGTTCCAGCTCTCCTCCCCGTCTCTGGCTGGTAGGTGGCTGATAAATTGTGTCTCCCTAGCCACCGGTACGTGTTTTTTCTTTTCTCCCTCAGCCCTGTAGGACCCTTTAGCCCAAAAGGTGCCTGTGCCCTGCAGGATGCTGCTCTTTAAAAACAAACAAAGTTTGTTGATGTGGGGAGGCCCAGAGGGGGGTTCATCCTCCCCCATGGTAAGTCCCAAGGCCCATTGGTGCCGCTACCTTCATTTCTCCAGTCAATCCTCAAGAGAACCAAACCCGATTCTTATCCCTTCAGGGCCTGGAGGCTGGGTTCTGGATAGCAGGAAACTGACCAGAGCTTTGTTAGCTTTCCTCAAGCAGCCTGGTGGTGAAGGGATGGGCAGCACCAGAATCTCTGCACATGCTGAATTGGTTCTCATTCGGGAATTTATCTGTGCTGCCATAAGGGCTGCAGCTTCTGTATTTATGTATCTGTAGTGCCTAGAAGCCACAGTCCTGGGCCAGGACCCCAGTGTGCTAGATGCTGGACAGAGACCGAACAAAAAGATGTCCCTTCTCCCAAAGCTTATGATCCACGTAGAAAAGCGTAGGCCTGACAGTTTGGTAACTTAGTCCCCTTCTCTCACTTGGGGAAGGCTTCCTGTTCGCCAGCACACCGCGAACAGATGGTACAGCCGTGAGGGCGGAAGAAACTCAAGAACGAACTAGTCCAACTGCTAACAAAAGCATGGGATTTCTCATTTAAAATCCCCCCCGTGACAGGAAACTGGCGAGGCACATATGCTACCCTCGTCTTAAATACAGCACTGGATAAAATCCAAGCGTTACAGCGGCGTTGGAGGAATGGGTTGAGCTGGTGATTTAAGGAGGATTGTCAGATGCTTGTGGCGCAAGGGCCGGAGCAGGTGTGAACAATTCTTGCACCCGGGGAAGGAAGCTCTGTGGGTGTTGAGTCTAGTATACAGTGAGCTTGCATGCTGTGCTCCTGGCCCCACCCCCATGCCCCAAGTTAAGAGCAAGGTCCCAAGTCCCTAACTCTGTTCCTGCAGCAGGCGTGACCCTGGTCCCCGAGGGGGGATGGCCCAGCTGTTTGTGCCAAGCGATCCTCCTGTTACAGATGGGTTGCAAAAGCCAGCTTGGGCTGGCCTTGTGTCCTTTGTAGCAGCGTTCTTGGGGCAGCCTGCTCCCCACCAGGGTCCATAGAGGGCGTGTTTGAATATAGGCTTTGTAGGTCTGATGAGCAGAACTGTAGCAGTCAGCAGCTTGAGCTCTCTGGACGGGGCAGTGCTGGGGTGGCCGCAAAGCCACGCCATTAACAGGTGGCAGCTACTGCCTGGGGAAGTTCATAGACACTTTTGTTCCCTGGAAATGAGCAGCATTGATCTGCTGTGTCATCTTAAGTGTAGGAGCATAAGCTTTCGTGGGCAAAGACCCACTTCGTCTGATGCATGCATCTGACGAAGTGGGTCTTTGCCCACGAAAGCTTATGCTCCTACACTTAAGATGACACAGCAGATCAATGCTGCTCATTTCCAGGGAACAAAAGTGTCTATGCTTAGTTTATCACACTTTTATCGGAGCTGGTCACATGCATTTGTCTGCAGTTGCAAGGGAGGGCAGTACTAATACCCCTCATTACAGCTGAGGCACAGTGATGAAGTGACATGCCCAAGGCCGCACAGAATCGGTGGCAGAGCAGAGCATAGACTCCAGGACTCCTGGGTGCCAGTGCCTTAATGACAAGGCCATTCTATTGTGTATGTCACTTGTTTGATGCCTGTTGCCATGGGGAGGACTGCCTGTTGTAACGTGGCTGCGGTTGTCTTTTCTCACCTAGGTTTCCACGTCATTCCCTCCGTGTCCAACATTGTGCCAGAGAGCTGCCTGCTCATCGTGGTCGGGCTGCTGGTTGGGGGGCTCATCAAGGGTGTGGGGGAGAGCCCCCCGATCCTGAAGTCCGACATCTTCTTCCTCTTCCTCCTCCCACCCATCATCTTGGATGCCGGCTACTTCTTGCCCCTGCGCCAGTTCACGGAGAACCTGGGGACCATCCTGATCTTCGCCGTGGTGGGGACGCTCTGGAATGCCTTTTTCCTGGGCGGGCTGATGTACGCCGTGTGCCAGATCAGCGGCACCGGCCTGAATCACATCGGCCTGCTGGCCAACCTGCTCTTCGGCAGCATCATCTCAGCGGTGGACCCGGTGGCCGTGCTGGCCGTCTTCGAGGAGATCCACATCAACGAGCTCCTGCACATCCTGGTGTTCGGGGAATCCCTGCTGAATGACGCCGTCACTGTGGTATGTGGAGCTGCTTGCAAGGCCCTGTGTTTTGGAGGGCAGCAGAGGCTAGATGGGGCGGCAGGGAGGGGAGCGGGCTGGGTGTTGCTGGGTGTTGCTCACTCAGCCTTGGCGTGCGAGTTGCACTGACTTAGCCCCCTGCTTAGACTCTGGTTGGGTGAGTCAGTGGAGTGGTGGGAGGTTACTGCCGTCTCTGCAGCCTGTGGTGCGACTCGCGGCCTGTGCAATGGTGCTGAACCCAGCTGCGCTGTAGCGAGCGGTGCGGATGGGTAGTGCAGGCTAGTGTGCGGGGGTGAGTGCTGGCCTGGGGGAGGGGACAGGCGTCAAGTGAGCTTATGCTGCCTGTGCCGCCGCATCTTCACTGCTATTTTTAGGACACTGGCCAAATTCCAGCTTGCACAGGCGTGCGGCCAATGGACCCGCCCCCCCCCCCCCCCCGTTGGGGATGATGCTGTTAGCCTTTCGGCAGGGCTTGTCATCTGGAGCTCTCAGGGCCAGTGTTCTCTCTAATCTTTTCCATCCATGTGCGGAATAATTTTTTTCCTGTTCCCCGAGGCATGTGCAAATGTGCACCACCAATAGAAACACTGAATCTAGCTGTGGGCTAATCAGCTGGGAAGCATTGACATGTCTCGCAAGTACACAGCTTGCAGGGACCACTGGTGGGGAACCCACCAATG